GTTGTTGTTGCATTGAGGGGGACGACTTCTTCTTTCACTTCTCGACTTATTGGGCGATTTCGAACGCTGACCATGACAGCTGTTCTTGGGCGTGCCAAGATTTCCCGAATCAGATCCTTTGCTGTGACAAGAAGAAGGCGTTGAAGTCGTCTTCTCCAAAGGAGCTACCCGTACATGTTGATCACGCTGCTGATGTTTGTTTTTCGTTGCGCCACTACTAGATATGGCTCCTCTCACAGAATTGCCGGGCGGGTACCGGTAGGAGCAAAAGTTTCGGGTCTACACAAGAAGATCCCGTACGGCCACAAGTTGCTACCTTGGCTAATTAGTAATAAATAGTGTACACAAAACTGCTCATCGTTCTATCGATTCACTCCTGTATCATCAAAGTTGGGGTCGAGTGGGCCTCTTGTTCCACTTTTCAGCACAGGAACAATGTAGCGAATGGCACTGATGGCTTCGTCGGCGTTGGAGTTTCCTCGCTCGTATGTCGCAGCATACGGATCGGAATCCTGCTTCTTGAACAGTTTTCTTAGCTTTCCCAACTTGCCTTCTTTATAACCGTCTTTATAGCGAGACCCGTTGGTACTACTAGCAGTACTAGAGCGAGGATCGGAAGTCTCGGAGTTGCTGCGGTAGACATCCTTTCTATTCGCGTAGATGCCATTTCTGAACGAGTCCATTCTCTCTTCTTCTGCTTCTTGTTGATGCTCATTTCTTCGACCTCTCCAGGCTCGAAAACTGACTTTTGCTTTTTGGATATCGCGGCTGGTCTCTTGATCATTGTTTTTTGGTTTTCCATTCTGTGGGACGAGAGTGGGTTTCCTGGCTTTTGTTGCCGCGGGGAGGTGGGAAGGGGAAGTGGCTCTCTGGCGTCGCCACAAGACCAAAATTTAGAGAAGACTCGAGACTCAGACTCGACTCAAGAGTCGTCGACGACCCAACATGAATAATCTTCCGCAATAATAATATACCCATATGCTTACATGGGGGATAGCTAGTCTATGAATAGCTCGCCTCCATGCACCCTCCACTCGTTACTCGTTGCCAAGGCGCCAAGGGCCAAGGCACGCTGTCACTCTGTTGGATTGCTCGACCGTTTTGACCGAACAACATCCAACCATGGCACCAGCCTCCGACGACAGCAGCGACAGTGATGAGAGTGAGGATCGTCGCTTCTTGCCTCAATCGCACAAAGGATGGCAAGGTGAAAACCTAGAACTGGATCACCAGCGAGAATCCATTCGGCAACACAAAACCAAGGCCACTTCGGCAGCCGTGGATATTTCACAGTTTCAGAATCATGAAGTAGGCAAGGGCTACCAAGCAAAGCATGTGATACGGCAACAAGTGGCGTCCCAGGACACTGTCAAAATTAAAGATATGACCGGTGACAAGAAGAAACGGAAAAAGGAAAAGCGACAACGAGAAGAGACAGAAAAAGTGGATACAACAGATACCCCAAAGGCCAAGGTTCAGAAATACTTGTCATCACCGGGGTTGATCCTATTTCGTGGGGAAATAGAAGATATACTAAAGTCTTAAAAGAAGGCAAGTTGGGAAAGCTAAGAAAACTGTTCAAGAAGCAGGATTCCGATCCGTATGCTGCGACATACGAGCGAGGAAACTCCAACGCCGACGAAGCCATCAGTGCCATTCGCTACATCGTTCCTGTGCTGAAAAGTGGAACAAGAGGCCCACTCGACCCCAACTTTGATGATACAGGAGTGAATCGATAGAACGATGAGCAGTTTTGTGTACACTATTTATTACTAATTAGCCAAGGTAGCAACTTGTGGCCGTACTGGATCTTCTTGTGTAGACCCGAAACTTTTGCTCCTACCGGTACGGGTAGCTCCTTTGGAGAAGACGGCTTCAACGCCTTCTTCTTGTCACAGCAAAGGATCTGATTCGGGAAATCTTGGCACGCCCAAGAACAGCTGTCATGGTCAGCGTTCGAAATCGCCCAATAAGTCGAGAAGTGAAAGAAGAAGTCGTCCCCCTCAATGCAACAACAACAACAACTTCAGTCGTCGCAGAAGTTGTCCTGATGCCGTCGTATTTCCTCCGGATCCCGATGAAACTGGAGCCCAAGTAGTCCAACGAATCTTTGCATCGTTTGGTCTTCAAGCGGAGTTTCCACAGGACTGTCAAGACTATGTCCAAAAGTCGATGGAACGCAGCAGCAGCACTCATCCAAACCAGATGATGATCAAAACGTTGTCACCTATGCCGATTACACGCATCTTCCATTCATTACGATTGGAGAGGAAACGCGAGATTTGGATCAAGCACTCTACATTACGCGGCAAAACTTGCCCGGAACACCAGCAACACCAGCATCATCCTCACACACGGAAACAACTCCATAATATTACTTGGTCTCGTATGCCTTGGCGGATGCTGCCCACTATGTACCGGCCCATTCCCCCGTGTTTCAATACGCTCTCCGCAAGGGCCTTAACACCAGGACAGAAACGACGGGCATTGGTCTTGAACATGTACCTGTTGCCCATTATGGGTCAACCCGTCAAGACATTTTACAAATGGGCATGGATCGTGACGAGACGACAGGGAACATTTCGAGAAGTGTCTGAGTATTACCAAGCAGTCGATGCAGACAAATCACACTCCTTTCAAACCAAACAATACTGTGAGACACTCGATTTGCTCCGGGAGGTGGGCATGCTACATCTTCATCATCAACCAGGAGGCAACCACACCCAACAGCGACAATCCACCAAAAAAGGTTGAATGATATTGGATGAGAATGGCAAACTGGCATTTGACACGCGCTGTCGTTCAAATCAGCCTGCTCGCCAATAGCGAAGGAACTCGTCTCTTGCACTTTATGGAATGTCTGGAACACAAGGTCGGCGAGCACGACATGATTCACCCAATCTACAGGACCATGGCAGAACCACGACCACAACAACTTGCTACACTGGAACAAGTCATACTCAATACACTCACGGCACATGACATTGGCATTCCAACCTGGGGGTGGAGGAGACACGCAGACAACGACAACAACCATAATAAGGAATCCATTGCTGACTATCTCGAGAGAATTAGAAACCGACGAGACTCCTCTCTTCTCATCTTTTAGGGAGGATTCGATTCCCAAAGTTTGGAGTGGTGGAGCAACACGTACAGTCGTAGATCTTCCTTTCGAATAGCATATGATTCGATTCGATTCGATTCGATTGAATCGTTCAACTCGATCGATTATTCGAATGATTTTGGATCTTTTGGATCTCGCGATCCCTATAAACACAACCCACAACAACCAGAACATCATCTATCTGAAATTTCGTAAAGGTTTTTTTTTTTAAAGAATAGGTCCCCATCGTAGAGGTTGTTAGTGGTCTTCCATTTCTATTCCACTTCAGTGACATTCTCTCACCCATTCATACATAGATAGAAGACCATGTCTAGTTTCAGGTGCCAGTCTGTTTCGAGGCTACGACTGCTTGCCTTTGTACTACCGGTACTAGTGGGCGTTTCGTCTGCCAAACCACCCAATATTGTCTTTTTGGTCTGCGAATCGACCGACGGCCGGACATGGCGTGAAGGGTACCAAGACAATGTGATTCCCTTGCCCAACTTGCGCCAGTTGGAAGCACAGCCGGGAGGCTACAGCTTTCACCGACACTACAGCAACTCTCCCGTTTGCTGTACTTCGCGCTCGACACTATGGAGTGGCCGTCATGCCCACAAGATCCCACACATTCAGCGCCAACAACACACCGACAAGACCACGGGAAAGAAAAGCATCCGCGAATTGGCCGTCAATGGGGCTTGGAACAATTTTGAAGGTCTCCCTGTCAACTTTCAGGACCGGATCGATCAAATCTTGGAACGCAGTCTCAATTATACGGTGAAGCTTTCGGGCAAGCGGGATTGGACCACAGGAGGACATACCGACAATGTCAAGATGAGTGCATGGACCATGTATACTCGATTCCCCTACAATATTCCCAAACAAGGTGGATGGGCGGACGAGCTGCCCTATGTCTGTGGAGACAACGGGACCGTACGAGGACCCAATACATCGCCGCATTGGGATGATTGGAAAGCACTCAATGAGACTGTCGATTGGATGAAGGACTACCGAAACAGTCAAGAGAATGGGACCATTGATAAGGACAAACCATTCTTTGTCTATCAAGGCATGAATATTGTGCACCCACCCTATCTGACCAATGAACACTGGTACAACAAGATTGATCCCAACAAAATCAACGTCCCAGAATGGATTCCTCTGGAGGAGTTACATCCATGTGATTTGCAATCATCCATGATGAAGGGCTGCATTCCCCCCATGGACAATGACACGGCCCGGGATTTCTTTTATGATTACTACCGTCGACGCAACATTCGCAGAATTTACTACGCCATGATTGCCGAGTTTGACTCAATGGTTGGAGCCTACATGGACACCATCCAGCAAATGGGTCAGGATGTTTGGGACAATACCATCTTTATTGTCACCAGTGACCACGGTACGTGGAACACGTTGTTGCAGTGGTGGAAGCACTCGAAGCAAACTGGATCCCCTTCTCACATGTTCCACTTACTTTCTTGCTTCCAGGTGACATGCAAATTGAGCACCAGCAGTCGTACAAGCAAGTGCCATATGATGGTAGCAGCAGTGTCCCGCTGATCATTATGGACGGTCGTGTCAAACAAAAACAAAAACAAAAACAGGACAAGAACAAACAAGTGATTGACCTTCCCACGCAACTGATGGATTTATATCCAACCATGATGGACATGGCAGGTGTGCCATCCAGTGACTATCCCTACGACAAACTCGATGGACACTCCTTGGTTCCACTCATGCAGGCGTGGTCACAGATCATGGACCCTACATTGCCACAATCTGTCAGCACGACAAAACGTCCCGATTTTATTGTATCCCAATTTCACGGTAAGATGCAACGAGGAAAGCTTCCATGGCTGACCATAATATCTGTGAGTCTCACAGACCTTCCCTTGTCGCTTGCTCAGGTATGAACATTGCCATGAGTTGGTTCTTGATTGTAAGAGTCATGCCGTGTGCTAAGGGCGCTGCTAGCGAACATCTGCTCCGCTCGACAACTGAAGACAAGTGTGCCTACAAACTAGTCATTTGGGGTACTGGCAAGGAAGTTGATTCACAACTCTTTGATTTGACCCACGATCCGGATGAAATGACCAATCTGATTCAGAACGACAATTACCAATCTATCACGACCATGTTGGAAGGAGATTTGAGGTCCGTCGTCAATTACCCAGAGGTAGCTCTGGATGTTGCAGCCTACAACAAGGACAGCATGAGAAATTGGATGGAAGTTTTGGGAGAAAAGGCATGGCGTGAGGCCATTCACAGGCACCAGTTGAACTGGGATACCACCTGGGAGCATGATAGTGCTGGGGCTTTCGCAGCTCTTGCAGAATGGATCAATTCGACCAAAGTGGAGGTTTTGCCCTGTAGGAGCGATCTTGTTTGGCCACCCCCGCCCGGCAAAACACAGCCTGAGGAAGGAGATGCAGGGGCCACAATGGCTGCATCTTAGCCAAGTAGATTCATCATTCAGACTTTTTTACGATACTTCTATCGTAGCCCTTAGGCAGTGATTGCCTTTTAGAACTGCACTGGCAGCCATATCTGCTGTCTACATGTACGATGATGCAGTAAAATAGCATTGGATTCTGGAGGAAGTTTGGCAGCCATAGGGCTACCTCACGTCCCTCGTTGGTGGGCAAAACTACCCCGGTCTGATATCAATCGGTCCGCCAGGTCCCTGGTCCTGTCTCTAGCTAGAGACTATTAATAGCTGTGCCGGGAGGAACCAGTACCTGGTACCGATGTGATAGACAATTGGTCCAAACGGAGCCACGCCAAGTAAGATTGACATCACTTTGTTAACATAGTACTTTACTCTACTGTATGGATGAAGAATCATGACACAACGGTTTCTTTCTCAATAATTGTACATGATGACTTTCACTGTACATGTATTATTGGTCGCATAACTTCTATACTAGGACCAAAACGTTTTGGACGGAAGCGGGGGGGGAGACATTAGACCTTTAGTTGGGATTTGTCCGACACCTCAAGATGACAGTAGTGTCAAGGTTTCCCGCGACATGAACACAAATATTATGGAAATGGTCAACACGCAAGTCAAAAGGATGAACAAGGTCGACATGTCACTGTAATGTGCAATGTAGCCCGAAAGCACGGGGAACAAGATCCGTGCAAGGGATCCAGCCGAGGCAAACCATCCCATCAGGGCACCTTGAGGTCGTCGTCCGACAACCTTGGAAAACAATCCAATCACTGCTGTGTGTCCTACGGGGTACCCGATGCCATAGATGAGGAAAATGGCAGAGACATATCGCCATGTGGGATTGTCGTCGTTGTTGTTTTCGGCAGAATCTTCGCTGAGAAAAGCTAGACTGACAATCCCCGTGGCCATGATTGCCATGCCTCCCTTGATCAATTGGACATCGGAGAACCATTGCGTCAGATACCCAAACGAGAGGAGCGCACAGACTCCCACGAGACCCGATGAGGCCACAATGGTACCAGCTCGCGAGGATGCCATTTGGAAATGTGACTCGGCAAAGGAAATACCAAGCGTCTCGAAGGAGGCAATGCTTCCCTTGGTGGAAACGTTGAGGAGCATGCATCCTAGAATGCAAGCGTCGTACACGCACAATCCACAAAGCCATGATGGAAAGCTATTGGCAACGTCGTCAATGTAGGCCCGTCGTTGCGACTTTCTCTTTGGCTGTTCCTTGACAGTGGATATTCGTTGACGATCTTGGAAGAAGGCCAAGAGCATGGCAATGACAAAGGCAATGACCACTGCCATAAAGTAAGCGGGGGCCGTGTACATGTTGAATCGAAACAAACTGAGAAGCCATTGTGGATTGATTGCGTTGTGTTATTGAATAAGGTTCAACAAAGTTGGAAGGTGCAGAGTTTGAATGAGTTCGCGTGTGCGTGTGTAAGAAACAAGCATCCACATTCACATTCTTCCTATGTTCGTATGATATTGCAGCACAACTTACCCCCAATGAACGTCAGTGTCTTCTCCGAGTACCTTGTTGAAAAATGCTCCTACAAAGGGTGTGACGGTGAATCCACCATACTGAACGGCAGTGACCCACGCCATGTAGGTGGTGCGACTTCGTTTGGCGGTAACGTCTGCCACAAAGGCTCTGGTGACACCCAGAGTTCCCGATCCGACACCGAGCATTGTTTGTGCTACAATGAGAAACTCTGGTCGACCCACATTGAGGACTTGTGAATAACAGAAGGTTCCAAAGAGCAGCAGTGACGTGCTGAGCAAGAGTGTATTGGTATAGCCCCATGTATGGCTCCAACTGCCAAAGACGGGGTTGACCAGAATGCGACCAAAACTAAACGCGGCAACGGCGTATCCCAATGTCACCCTGTCTCCGCCTAGCTTTTCCACCAAAGGCCACATGGACGGGAACATGGCTCCACGAGACATGTCGCCAATCAGAATCACAAGGCATACGACACAGAATCCGGGAACATCGTGAATCCCATCGGCCGTCAGGACACTGGACATGTCAACGGATTTATTGTCGTCGTCATCACCATTCTTGTATTCATTTTGAAACTGGTCTGGCATGCCAGGACTTGCCAAGCGAGCTCCTGCAATCTCCATGGCGACATAGGGAGCTGAACTGCGAGGTGGAGATCCTCGAGAAGGGGGAGCCGAGTACTCTTCATCGCCTGCCGGTTGTATAGCAGGAGCATCCCCCGAGAGGAGGTCGATTGGACCGGACGACGACATGTTGATGTTGCCTCTGAGAGAGCTACTAGTATGGGTTTCTTGTTGGCATCTATCAAGATAACAATCGCACAGAATGAATAGCAGAGGCAAATGCGTGCTTACGTGGATGCCAAATCGTTTGTCGTTGGCAGAAAAATGAAGGCCTCCCGGCGAGCCTCCGAAGTGTTTAAAGAAATCCGTACCGAAAGCCAAGGCGGCAGATATCAATCCTACAAGGCTGGATACAACATTTCAAGTGAAGAACGAATGATGCGTTGGCTGATTTAGGGTTGGTGCTACTAGCTGGGCCATCTTCTTTTTGGCGCGAGAAATTGCTGGTGGTTTGACTCGACTCACTTGGCAAAGAGGCGAGGAAGGGAGAGGGTCCTGGAGATGGTCTTGGTGTCGAGCTGCCGAACTGGGTGTTGATCCAGTTGATGGACCAAGAGTGGTGCATGAGTGGGTCAGGAGTTGGGCATGGAGTTGGTCCAAGTGGGAGATGGTCCAGTGTTAGGGCTGCCAAAAGGTGTTGATCATTTTACGTCTAGTGGCAAGGCTGTAATTGGAGCTTGGAGATGGTCCATGAGTAGAAGTTGGATTACACACTTGGATCGAACAGCTAGACAGGTGTGGGTCTGTGATAGGGTCCTGTAGGGTTGGGGAGCAGGGCCATGTGTTGTTCCTGGAGTAGGTCCAGGAGCTTGGTGTATTTCATATCGTCTTTCTGGGAGGAGGAGGAAAAGGCAACGGGCAGGGTATAAGATCAGCTGTTGAGCTATTATGAAGTGGATTCAGGAGTGGGACCAGGAGTACAAATGGGTATAGTTCATGGTGTCCTCATTACTTTAAGAGTTGGGCCTGATATGGGAAGCCCTGGGGTAGGAACATGGGTTGGGCTGGGAGTAGGAGGTGATGATCGTTGTCCATGGCTGTGTACTAAGCCAAGTGTTGGATTGGCTCTGCAGAGCAAGGTAGCCATTCTCTGGTCATCATGGAAATCTTACACCGAGCAGGAGCAGGAGCCAGAGAATGGGAGGCAGCTGGTCCAGGAGTGGGACATGAATTGCTTACTTGTAGGGCCTGGTGTGCGTTGGACCTAGAGTGGGAATTGATTAGGCCTGGAGATGGTCCAGGAGTTGGACCTAGATTGGGTCCAACAGTTATGACAGGTGTGGGTGGGTCTATGATAGGGCCCTGTGGTGAAGGTCCAGGGGTGGGGAGCAGGGCCAGGTGTTGTTCCTGGAGTAGGTCCAGGAGCTTGGTGTATTTCATATCATCATTCTGGGAGTATTAGTAGTAGGACAAGGCGCTGGGCAGGGTATAAGACCAGGTGTTGAGCTATTGTTGTGAAGTGGGTTCAGGAGAACAGCTTGGTGTAGTTTATGGTTTCGTTGCTTTAGGAGTTGGAACAGGGGTTGGGCCTGGTGTAGAAGCCCTGGAGTAGGAACATGGGTTGTGCTGGAAGTAGGTCGTGGTGTTTGTTGTCCCTGTCTGTGTAAGCCAAGTGTTGGCTTGGCTCTGCGGAGCAAGGCAGTGATTCGCTGATCATCATGGCTTACACCGAGGAGGAGCCAGGGGATGCAGTTGTTTTGCTTAGCTGGAGCATGTGCCAGAACTTTTACATAGTCCAATCCGATCCACGGTAGCTAGCTAGCTAGCTAGCTCTGCCGTGCTGTCGTGGTCCATGCATGTGTCGCTCAGCTTTGTTCAGCGAAAGATATTTTGCATGAAAGCTGAAGAAGCTTGCTGCTTCACTTTTAGAAGCTGAAGAAGCTTGCCTGCAACAAGCCAAAGATTTTCTAGTCTAGCTAGCTAGTCCAGCTAGCTAGTCCAATTGGGTCTTGCTATCTAGCTGCTGGTACCGGTACACTAGCGAGTCTAGTCGACTACTCCAGAGCACTACCACCGCATTGATCTAGAAATTACACTTCTCCTGTACCATAACCAGTGAGGCTAGCCAGAGTGGCGAATTTGGCCACCCAGCGGAGACATGAGGCAGCTTGGCAACATTCGATTGGCTTCCAATCGTATCTTCGCATTGGACCTTGGTCCCTGACACCATCCATTCCTTCCAGCGCGGTACTGCGCGTTTCTACGGATTCCTACGGTGGTCGTGCACTGGCAGGCGGCAATTCCTTCGATTCGCTGCCTTCTTCGATCCTTCTCTCACCATGGCAGGCACAACGACTACTTTACCAAGTACCGAACACACTTCCCACCAAACAATCCTTTTCTCGTCCAATACACGACAAATAAAAACAACAACAACCATGCCAGGAGGATCTTCTAATGGAGGTCGTAGCGGCAACCGAAACAATGGCAAAAGAACAGAATCAAAGCAAATTCTAGAAGTAAGTTTGTCCATGGTCATTGTCTTTGGCACTGGAAAGATCGCGTGACAGTGCGCAGCATTTGTCATTCCCGCCCGCAGTAGGATTCTACGTGAATTCTCGTACAACGGTTTTTGTCTGAATGCTGTCGAGACGTTGGGATTGTGTTTGTTGCTGTTGTAATTGTTGCGGAAAGGCTGACAATTGCTTTGACCAGACTGCTGTAGATAGTGGCAGCAAGTAGCGGATGCCTCGAGTGTGGCTTTCGATGGCTAGTGTGTCATTTTCTATTTTTATGAATGCCAAGTCTCATTATTTCTTGTTGTTGTTATTTTTGTCATTGCAGCTTCGCTCTGTATGTCCCGACCACAAGAAAGGGGACTTTGACCAACTCGTTAAACAATTCAAAGGCGACGAAGCGAAAATCCAGCAGAAGATCCAAGAATGGTGGGAAGAACCTCATAAGCCCCAAGAAGAAAAATGGGAGGACGTTAATAGAAACAAATCGGCCGCCAAACAAAAAAGCGGCGGAAATTATCGTGGCGGAGGACGCGATCGTGACCGTGGTGGACGTTCTAGCAATGGCGAAGGGCGTGGCCGCGGTGGTCGTGGAAGAGGAGGACGTGGTCGCGGAGATAGAAAGTTTCGCGATGGTCCTCCTCCCCACAAACAAAACAGAGAAGGACAACAGCAACCTGCTCAAAGGGACGAAACCAACAAGAAGGATTTTGCCGACCAGCAGGCTCCCCAGCAGAGAGTTGGTGTTCCAAAGCCAGTGACCAATGCTCCACCTCCCAAGGGTGCTTGGGGCAGGGCTCTTGGAGGAGGGCAAGCTGCTCCTGGTCCTGGACCAACATCTCCCGCTTCCCCTGAGAAACCTGCCGAAAATCAACAGCCAATTAATGCTCTGCCACAGCCAACTAAAAAAGAAGCAGCTGTAGCTCCAGTTGAAAAAATGGAAGTTGGCGTTGTCACTAAAAATGATCCCACCCCATCTGGATTCGCTCCTCCTGTGACAGACAACAAGACTGCTCAGCGTGCTTTGCCTGTTTCTGGAAATGTCTGGGCAACCAAGGGATCAGCTCATCTAATCCAAGCCGAAAAACAGCCGCCTGCTCCTATTGCGCCAACACCGGCGCCTGTGACGCCTTTAGTGCAGCCTGTGGTTCCTGGCCAAACATCGGTTGCTGCTTCCTCCGCGCCTATGGAAATGCCTGTTGTGGAAGAACTACCAGAGCCGCCAGCTCCCGAGCCAGTTGTGGAAGAAGAGCCTATTGTGGAAATGCCTTTGGTAGAGGATTCAGTTGTATCTACGTTGGAGACGGGTCTCCCACCGGCCGTGGCTAACACTGCAAGTGCATGGGGAAGTGAACCTCCTCCGGTAGAGGATCCAGAGCCAGCACCTGTCCTAGACATTCCGCCCTCACCGGAGGCTGTTGTGAAGGCTTCTCCACTGAACACTTCCATGGCTCCTCCTGCTCCACCTGTGCCACCAGTTCCGGTTGTAGAAGAACCCGCACCGTCCCCTCCCAAGCCACAACCCCCAGCACCCGCTCCCAAGCCACCAAGACCAGCACCTTCCAATGTTCTCAATATGGGACACTGGGATGCCGGAGACAATGACGATTCTCAAAATTTGGATTTTGGTTTTGGCTTCGGAACAGAGACCGATGTCGCAGCAACCATTGAACCTGTGACAGCTGCTGCGCCACCAGTTCCCGAAGAACCAGCTCCGGCTCCAACGACGACCTCAACTCCCCCAACCACAACTGCAGCGGCGCCTCCACAGGCAGCCACTGCAGCTCCACCGGCTGTTTCGCCCGCGAGGCCCCCACCAGGACTTTCTATTGGAGGCATGCCACCAATGCCAACCAACGCCGTATTGGTGCACGAATTGGAAACTAGTTTGGAAAATACTGCTCTGAGCGCTCCCAAGCCAGAACCAGCACCCCCTGCACCTCAAGAAAAACCAATTACCAATCCTCTCCCACCTCAGCCTGCCACGCAAGTTCCTGCCGTACCAACAGGAGCGACAGCGGCTGTGCTTCCCGGGGGACAAAATTACAACCAATACGGAATGCCTGGAATGTACAATTACAATGCACCTGGAAGCGGCTTTGTGGGAGTTCATGCCCCAGCGGGTCCTTTCTTGGCAGGCGTTGGGGTGATTCCCCAGCAACAGCCACCCAAGGTCGGAGCAAACTCGCCGCAACCAGGAGCAGCCCCAGGTGGACCAAGCCCCAACGTCCCTCAAGCCGGTGGGCTTTATGGTCACCATGCTTCGGCTCCGTCGTCAGGAAACGCCCCAGACACTACGAACACCACAACCGACACCACTGTAAGTAATGCGACTACCACCAACAGTGCCGCTCCAGCCCCTCCAGGAATGCCACCAGGCATGCCTGGTATGCCACCATACAATCCAGCATTGTACTATGGCCAACAACCGTTCCACCTGGGACAGCAGCATGGCGGTATGGGTTACAATTACGGTTACGGACAATTTGGAGGAGTCCAAGGAAACTTTGGATATCAACAAGTGATGGGACAGGGTGGAGGATATGGTGCTCCTCATTATGGCGATGACCAGCATCAACCAGGACCCCCGCATCAAGGCCACCAAGGAAATTCCCACTCCCACCACTCTGGTGGCTCTGGAGGCTATCAGAACAAGAGCGGAGGTGGGTACCGTGGACGAAACCACAACTCGCACCACAACAACAATCACAACCAGTACCAGAATCAGTACAATCCCCCACAGCACGGAGGCTACGGCGGTCAACCCTACGGAATGGGACACTACAACGATCACTTCAATCAACGCAGTGGATATGGTCACGCGAACATGGGCGACATGTACAGCATGCAGCAGCAACAGCAGCAGCAACAAGGAATCCATTCTGGAGGTGGCGGTGGCGGATTCCAAGATGACAATGACAACCACAACAAAGGTCGCAGGGGCGGAAACAACCGCAACAATAACAACAATAGCTTGAATCAGTTCCAGGGCGGCCCTCACGCACAGCTATCTGGCGGGCAGCAGCAGCAGCCATTCGGTCTTCAGGGCCACACCAATGATTCCGCCCAAACCGCAACTGGAGGAGGCTGGTCGAACAATAACCAAGGTGGTGGTGGTGGTGGATGGAGCGGAGGTGCATCCAGCTGGCAGCAGGGCAACTAGAGAAGTTATTACCAAGAAGTTGTTAGGCGCGGTAAATGATCACCACCGTTATTTCATTTCAGGATGATGAATGAAAACAAACTCAGCTCAGTACATAAATGCTACTTTTTAATTAAACGAAAGTTAATTTCTTTTGTTGTGCAGGGATCTTGGCTTGGCTGTTGGGGCGGAATTGAACAATCTGGGCAAAAATAGAATGCATCATCGGGTTGCTTCCTCGTACGGTACCGCATGCCAAATCCACAGGTCAAAACGTTGCATCGAACAGGGCAGGGACAAAAATATCGGAAGACAGCAGTCCCTAGATTTGCAACTTGATTATAATATCAGCTATTTTTAGTAGCTATTGCTGCCACGCCGCATAGCCATCAATTATTTCTTGAACATCGTTTCTGGAACCCATAAAGACAGGAGTACGTTCATGAACCAACTCTGGAATGAGATCCATCACCCGTTCTGTGCCAGTAGTGGATATTCCACCTGCCTGTTCCACAATAAAGGACATGGGGGCTCCTTCGTAAACCAGTCTCAGTTTGCCATTGGGATTCTTTTCGTCGCCGGGATACCCAAAGACTCCTCCATACATGAGTGTTCGATGGACATCTCCTACCATGGATCCGATATAGCGACTGGAGAATTGTTTACCGCTGGCACCTGTGCCTGCTTTCCAGTTTCGCACGGTGGCTTTGAGCGGTTCATCCCAGTAGTTGAAATTCGCTTCATTGAACGAGTAGATTGCTGATTCCTCTGGAATTTTGATGTTTGGATGACTGAGTACAAACTCTCCCAGATTTTCGTCGAGAGTAAATCCAAAGGTTCCTGCCCCCAATGTCAAAACCAGGAATGTGGAGGACGAATACAGGCAATAGGCGGCCGCGACTAGATTGTTTCCGGGCTGTAGGGTATTGGCTAGACACAAGGCTTCCTGATCTTCGGAATCTTCACTTCCCAAGGACGAAAAGTCGATTTCACAGGTTTCGTCAAACTCGTATATTCCAATGATGGTCCCTGTTGGAATTCCGGCATCGACATTGGAAGATCCATCCAAAGGATCAAAGACGGCACAGTATCTTGTTCCAGCATCAATCAAGACGTCCTTTGTGGCACCCGCTGAATACGGCGCTCCCGGAATGGATACCTAAACGTACGGAGAGAAAGAAAAAAAGATGTGAGGCGTTTACTTCAGAATCCAGACAAGAACAGAAACAAGGCCGGACAGGGCAACAGCCAAGATTGTGTGATATTAATCAATCAATCAAACAAACACAACACGCACCGGAGCATCTTCTTCTTCACTGGCCAAGACCCCGAGTCTTCCCGTAAATCGTAATGCCCGTTTGAGTAGATTGTTGGTAATGACATCCAATTTCTTTTGTTGCTCTCCTTGCACATTGATATTGCCTTGGAATCCCAGAGTTTCACTACTGGGGAGTTGGGATCTCTTGACGAGATTGGTAATGGCTTTGCAGGCCGTTTCAATGGCACCAAATAGTACTTTGATTTCGTCTAGCTCTGGATTGAGCATGGCCACTTCGGACATGAATCGTTTCAAGGTAACCCCCGTCGTGTCACAGACTTCGTCAAAGACGGGAGCCCTGGTCTTTCGCGTAGTACCCGTCGTGGTTTCCGCCATGGACAGTGGATTTCTGCTAGTGGGGCCATTCTTTGACAGAGGCGGTTGGAACGCCCCCGTTCTTGCCACCAACAAGAAGGGTATCACGGTAACAATAGCAATAACCGACTTCATCATCATCATCATCGTGGTGTCTATTGTCTGTAAAGAAGAATGGAATGGAATGGAAATGGAGTGTGATCGATTTTGGCAAAAGACAAACTAACTTTAAAAGACACTGACGTCAGTGACAACTGAGCTCGCACACTTCTTCCTTTTCTCAGTCGAATCAAAACAAAAGATACACAAGAAACCGAGCTGTTTGCGTCCACAGACTGCAGTTTTGTTGAAGGCCTCAGGTCAAGTACGAAGCGGGTAGGTGACATCGACAAGCTACGGCAACATCATCTGCTTTCCTCTGAGGCGAGAATAGTTCAGTCTTCCAGCTAGCTAGCTAGCACAAGCGCATTGAGTATCCCCTGCTACGGTACTGTTCAGATTGTTGAAAAAAGGATCCTGTACCAAGATGACAGCTTCGTCCGTTGTTTGGATGCTACCAGTAGTGGCACTGCTGTTGGCCTTGTCTGCCGATGCATTTCACGTGCCGCTGACTCCCACGAGAACCTCCTTGGCGTTTAGCTCGGCTACTAGACCTACAGCTACCAAGGCAAGACAAACATCAGCCCTCTACTTTTGGGGAAACAACAACAACAATAATAGCGAGGATGATAATAATGACAAGAAGAAAGAAGATGATGACAAAGACGATAAAGGTATCTTTGGAGGGCTGCTGCCGTTTTTTGCCAACAACCAGCAGGAGGAAACGACGGATACTGCCGAAAAACCTGTCGAAGCACCAGCAGCAGAGGCTACCCCAGTTGTCACTACTGCCACTGCAACACCGCCCAAGCCTGCACCCGGTCCCAAAAAGCCAGCTGTCGTCGAATTGGATCCTGTTGAACAAGCCAAAGCATTACGAGCGCAGGCGGAACGAGCTCGCTTGGAGGCGGAGAAAATGGATGCCGAATTGACGCTACAAAAGATTAGTCGGATCGAACGAGAAATGGCAAGTGCCGTTGCCAAAGATGAAACCGACAATGTCGAACGCTTGCAACGGGAAATGGATGCCTTGCAAGCCAAAGTACGAGGAGAACCAGTGCCAACGCCAGTTGCACCCAAACTCATCAAGCTGGATGACAGTACTACTAGTTCTACTACTACTGAAAAAAGTAGTTCCGCCAGCAACGAAATCTCTGTGACCATTAACCCTCAAGGTGCAGACTTGTTTTCCGGCATGTCCATTGATGGCAATGACTTGGAAGGACTTATTGAAACGGTAGAAAACTCCCCATCCTTTCTCAAAAAGTTATTTGCACAAATGACAGAAATTGAGTTTGTCACGGTCAGTGACATTAATTCCACTGAAGTGGCGGGACGATTGTGGCAGATGCAAAACATGGACTTTTCCTATTCCAAACGACCCACGCCGACATTTACTCAGGCACAAATAGACGATGCCATTCGCAATAAAAACTTTGAACAATTGGATATTGTGGCAAGCAAACTCACAGAAGAAACCAAAGGCAACGAGACGGCCAAGGCGTTGCTGGCGCTGGAATACGAGTACTACATTGACGCGTATGACATGGGCAAAATGGAGCAATTGTTGGACGGAGAAGACTGGCTTAAAGGTGTCATTGAAGCCGTGAACAAGACACAGGTCGATACGTCCATTGAAGCTTTTTACCCAAAATGCACCCGAAAGGAAGGCGCCGCACTGCCGACGGACGCCGAAATGAAACTATTGGTAACCGATCTACTGCCCAAGGCATTATTCACACCGAGAGGGGAACCAGAAAAAGTACTGGGCGGGTACATTGTACGAGGGACTAGCAAGTTTGAATCGGGCGATGAAACCATTGCGGCCATTGATGCAGAAATGGAAAAGACACCACGGTTGCAAGACAAAATGACCATTCTACTGGCATCCGACTTTACCGTCTTGGCAGAAATGGAGGACGCGGACAATTTTGATTTCCGGGATCCAGAAGAGGAACCACCCATTCTCTTTGTCATGGGGCCGGATATCATGCCGGATAGACAACGTGTCCTACTGACTTTGACAACCGCATTTGGTGTTGCAACGTCGTGGTATCTATCGATCTACCCATTCTTGTTGAATCCAGTACTGATGAAACGAACCGAGGAACAGCTGCAGTTGGCTGATGCCAGCATGGCGTATGACTTGAGTTGGTTATCCGAACTGTCACTCCCACTCTTTATTACTTTCATGGGGATCCAGTTCGCTCACGAGGCCGGGCACAAACTTGTGGGAGCTGCTAATGGGGTAAGAAAAATGCAATGCCAAGCAGCATGGCGACAATGCATGTTTCAATAGTGTTTGTCTCCTCTTGAATTGCTGTTCTCACCGTTTTGCTCTGCCAGGCTTCAACGACCTTTCCCACCTTTGTTCCATCTCTGATCACCGGAGTGACTTCTACTGTGACCCAGTTCAAGGAACCACCAAAAAACAAGGAAGTCATGTTTGACGTTGCCCTGGCGGGACCTTTGGCTGGGATGTTGGCGTCCATTGCGGCTCTGGTTCTGGGATCTCAGCTCACTCTCACCAGCGACCCTGGTCTATTACCCGCTCTACCGTTGGATATCTTGCGACAGAGCACACTTGGAGGCGGAATCATTGACGGTATTTTGGGAGCAGGAGCATTGAGCGTCCCTCCTGGTGCCGAGGCAACAGATGCAGTCGCAGGAATGACAGTGTCACTGCACCCAGTCGCAGTTGCGGGTTACATTGGACTCATCTTGAACGGATTGGCGTTGTTACCAATTGGGAGTAAGTTTCGCTTTACTGGTTCCATTCTTGGTTACTTGATTCGTTCCCTCTGAGACATAGCCTCATATTATTTTGCTACTGTGCGTTTGCAGCCACTGACGGCGGAAGAATCGCCCAGGCGCTCTTTGGGAGAGGCGTGAAGACAGCCATCGGAAACCTCTTTTTGTTCACGGTTTTCTTCATTGGTGTCCTGGGTTCGGATCTCTTCCTGTTTTACTTCAGTTTTTTGATTGCATTCCAGACAGGAAACGAAATCCCAGCAAGGAATGAAGTGGACAACGTGAGCTTCGCCAGGGTGCTTTTGGCTACCGCATCGACTGTGCTGGCCCTGTTGGCACTGATACCATTCCAGTCATGAGTTGCAAAGACGGCACAGTCCAGCTCGTGCTACTAGCTAAGTTAGCAAATCATACGCATAATGTACAAACTCCGAGAGTGCTTGTAGCACTCGCTCTGTCTCGAAGAAAATAGGAAACTAAGGTGGCCCGATACCCACAAGGACAATGCAAACTACCGGTAGGGCAACACAGCATTTGTTTTATTATTTAAAGTACACTGTGTCTGAGTGCGGCTGCTGTTTTGGTTGTGGCGGTGATTGTTGTTGCCCTTGAGGAGGAGCCCCGGGTGGTGGTGGAGGTGCTTGAGGTGGAGGATAGGGAGCGCCATACGGCTGATGATATTGTGGGTGAGGATGCATTTGGTGTGAAGGGTAAGGGTAAGCACCGTAGGTTGGGGGATAATGTGGAGGCGGTTGGTGTGGATACTGCATTGGTGGATGTGCCCCGTACGGTGGAGGAGCAGGCTGGTATGGTTGGTGGTTGCCACCTGGTGGTGCACCCCTAGGAGGTGGTGGTGGAGGAGGCGGTGGTGGAACAGGACCTCCATAGTATGGAGGATGGCTTGCAGCTGTTGGATACGGCATGGTTGGAGGATGATGCGGTTGATGATACTGGTGAAATCCAGCCGGGATTGGCGCCATCTGTCCTGGTGGATTGTAGTTGTTGTTTCTAGACTGGCGGTTGTTGTTGTTATTTCTCCGCCTCCCCTGTGGATGATGTCCCTGTGGATGATTGGTGTTCCCTGCAGCATTATTCCTAGCTTGTTTGCGCTGGCTCTTTCGCTGCTGCTCTTCTTCGTCATCGCTGAAAGCCATTTCATTGACATTGACAACCTCTTCATCGTAGACATTGGAGGCATCTTTTAAAAATCATTACAAAAGAGATTTCAACATGAGTTTTCAATAAAAATAAATACATATTCAACAAACACACAAACCAAGCCACCCTGCTGCTGGACTCGTTATACTTACCACATCCCTTGGCACTCATGCGCTGTATGGCCACTGCATCAATCATTTTGGCATCATCTTTGACAAAGTAAACTACAATGTCTGGATGATCTCGAAGCAGACATGTGTGCTTGCCATTTTGTGACCATGGATCAGGTTCCTGCTCTTCCTTCTCCTCCGTGGTGGTGGGTTCTTTTGCTTCTTGACCAGCACTATTCTTCATAAGTGGCTCTGTTTCTATTGTTGTTGTCACAACCCCTTCATTGTTACTTGCCGGTTTGTTGTCATTCTTTACTGGAGGAGCTTCGTCGTCTTTATGGTCGCTGTTATTATTTTTGGAATCTCCATTTTGAATACATGCTTGTTCGGCATCAGAAGCAGTGCTTGTTTCAGTTTCTGCTGCATCAGAAGTTTTGGCGATATTGTCGCTGTTTGCCGCTGCTTCCCCATTGGTTTCTTCTTTTTTAGACTTTTTGTTGTTGTTGTTGTTGTGTGTTTTGCTTTGTTGTTTATGTGTTGGTATTCTTACCGAATAGAGTGGTCTTCGCACGGGACCAAAAACTTCAAAAATCTTGCCCAGTGGCAGTAATTGTTTGGTATCGTTTGGAATTTGCAGCACCAACAGACTTCCTTCATCGAGAGGAGGCGTCGTCATGAGTCCAGTATGTTTGGCGGGTGGTGGACATTCGACAATGACGGTTCGTTCGGTTACCATGTGACTCTTGATGGTTCCTGCGGGGCATAGATTGTGTGGTGACTGTTGTGTGTTCGCGGTAGTATTTTTGTCTTGTGAATTGTTGTATACCAATTCCTCCGTGGTGACGGTCAAGCTGAGTTGAAATTTTTCTTCTAGTTCTGGCAATGGAGTGTTGTAGGGATCCAGTTCATGTTCTGTCTTGGGTGGTGCTGAATTCAAAATAGCCACATCATCCTCACCATCATTGCTGGCATTCATTTTGTCAATTTGTGCCCGTTCCTTTTCCACATTGAGCTCTTCTTCCTCATCGTCGTCATTGGCATTGCCATTGTTGTCAACAGAATCATCATCATCAGAAGAAGAATCATCATCACTGTCTTTTTTGTCTTGTCCTCTCATTTTATTTTCTTCTTGGACCATTTCCGTTCCTTCCTTTTCCATTTTTTCTTCCTCATTTGTTTTCCCCTCACTGGAATTTTCCTCCTCACTCAGGTCAATTTCATTGTCATCCTTGATTTCTTCGGCATTGTCATCATTCTTGTCGGTTGTTGCTGTTACTTTTGAGGGCGGTGCCGTGTAGACCGCCGCAGCATAGGTCGCTGCAATGGCCAAATCGTCAAAGACGGGTTCCTCTTGTTGGTGTACAAACGGACGCTTTGGCTTGTGATGATGGTGCCGTCCCCTCGCCATGGTGGCTACAGTCTAGCTAGCTAGGATGCAAAGCTAGTTTTCACACGATTCCCAACAAGAAATAGCTCGAGCTGTCCTGGTAGATGCAAGAGTGCTTGCTAGCTCTTGTTGTTACCAGTAGTCTACAAGTGTGTGGGTTGCTTTGGCTTGAGCTTACTTGTACTTGTTTGCATTGTGATCGTCACTGGCCCCGTTTGTTGGCTCGTGCTCACCTACTCGTACTATTAATAGTACTAGTACCTCGTTACCTTGTCGTCACTACCGGTCAAGTCAAACAATTTCGTTCGTGCTATCGACGATCGAGCACCACATGCATCTTTTGGGATCTTTGTTTGACTGGTCGCGGTGAAGCGGGGAAGTGCGTGATGTCAAACCCAGTGTTCCGGCGCTGTTCTTTTTGCTTTTGATTGGTCCAGCGGGTCATTTGAGATCTTGTGAAGCATTGTGATTGGTTCAGAGCCAATTCCGAACCCCAAACAGGAAAGAACACCCAAGCAGTTGCATGCAACAGCGACAGCTGCAATAACGTTGACACGAACAGATCTCATCGAATGGCATCGAGCACACTGGATGAATGAATCATTGGTTGGCATTGGTATCTTTTGACGAACTCACAATTTTCGCTCTCTTGACACCAAAACAGCCAACGCAAAACTTATCAGAATTCATTCAGCTAATCTAGCTAGCAACCAAAGCAACTCCTTCCATCACCACCATGAAGATCATCTCCAATAATACTACCACTACCACACTCAGTCTCTTTCTGTTGAGTGCACTGATGTTGTTGAGTCACACCAATGCCTTTACTGCTTCTGTCATTGCTCCATCATCATCATCCACGCGAACTCGATTGCACGCTAGCACTATCTATTCCGATTTTGGGGATTCCTCTCGACGCAATCGATTCACTACGCGAGACGAACCACAACAAGACGAACCACAAGATATTCCCACAGCAGTACCACAACCACAAGCCCGCAGTCGTCTGAGCAAGATGGACATGCCACGCCATGGACCCACCGCCCAAGAAATTCAAAGTGCCAAGTTACTCATGTCCATGGAAATGACCATTGGAAGAGGAGCCATGATGGTCGCCGTGCTATTGATGGGAACCGAATTGGTCACAGGGATGAGTCTCCCAGAACAGGTCTCCCACTTGTTCTAGACTAACTACTCGAGTAAGACAAGGGGAATCAACCAACAATTAAGACAAGAACAAACCGAGGCTGATGAACATCATACAGGTCATATCAAGCACAAAAAGCAGCCATTGTAGTTTTAGAAAGGTACAAAAGAACAGAACAAACCCAAATATTGCGTACAAAGAACAGCATGCCTTAAAAAAATAAAGTAAACTAACCAACTATCCAAGATTTTGAATCAAAAGTACATGTACGATATGCAATGATATCATAGCAGCCAGATAGATTGCTGGAATTGCAACTCTTCACATTTCGAATTCTCTTTAGAGGTGCCGTTCTCGATTTGAGATGGCCTGGACAGTTTTTGTTCCGCTACGGTGCCAGGTACCATACGGTGTAGATGCATTTGTAAAACCGTGAGTGAGGAGATCCGACCGGAACGTGGAACCTGGATGCTTTTCGTTTTTACTTCTCTCGTCCCTACCATTTCGGCAACAGGGCGACAGCACTAGCTAGTTAGCTAAAAGTCGCATTCTATCTCGATTGGCCTTTCACTACCAATCAAAGCTTTTAATGTAGCAACCACGGAGCGAGCGAACTGTAGCAAAATGCTTCCGACATCACCTTTGCTGTTTGCTTCCACGCTCCCGTCATTGTACCTTGAATTCTTGTACAAAAACATCGTGATCGGCTCACAATTCGCTCTGGAGCAACTCACTTCAGTACTCTCACAGCAGCTGTTCATGAATCAGCTTTCTTTTAGCTCTACCACAAAACTCCTTCTTGAAGCACGCAACAACCATCAGCCAGCAACCATGTCCTCTTCTGTAGAGAAGACCTTTTCAGCCCATCTCATCTGTCCCATTACACTGGAATTGCCATTTGATCCGGTCCATGCAGAAGATGGCAAGTTGTACGAGCGCCAAGCCATTCAGGAGTACATTGCTCGACAGAGGCGCCGTTCCCTCAAATCGCCCATGACACGGGCACCCATGGGAAAACGCCTCTTTCCAGCTCCCCACATCAAAAACTTGATTGAAGAAATGATTGAAAATGGCGAGGTGGAAGTGGATTTGAGCCTGCGGTGGATCAATAAGAAAAAGGAAGAACTATTTCGGGAGCGGTTGGTGAATGCTGCCAAGGGGGGTGATTCCAGTGCCATGGTGTACCTTGGAAACTGCTACGGAGAACCCCGTCATGGCTTTCCAGAGAACCAGAAGAAAGCATTCGAGTGGGTGGAAAAGGCCCACAACGCTGGGCATGTCTTGGGAACATTTCTGTTTGGATGTTCCCTTTTGGAGGGTGTGGGAGCTCGTGCCAACGCGGAACAAGGACTGCTCCACACATTTGATGCAGCGCAGCGGGGATGTAATGTAGCTGCGTTCTTTGTGGGAGCTGCCTACATGGAAGGCAAGTTTGGATTGCCTCTAGACCCCCATCAAGCCAAAAAGTGGCTTCGCAAGGGTTTGTTTTCATGTTCTGCTTCTGAGAAGACAAAGGGTATGTACGACTTGAAACTGTCAGAGCAGGTAGACGAACGCATGGATTGGGAGCAAGTGTTGGATGCGCTTCACAAGCTCGGAACTGATGGCGTGGGAGAAACAAGCTAAGGCCTACTAGCTAGCTACACAACTGCACGGAACCAGTGGAGACGAGGCCTGCACGGACACACGGAAGTAAGGTGATGGAAAGGAGGACACTATTGACCTCGACACTGGATGAGCTGAGTTGCTATGTGGGCTGGTGTATGGTAGTCAATAATTCTAGGTTTTATCTTCTTACAAACTACTAGTAGGAGTGAGGAGGGACGGAATGGGAAGAAGCTGCTGATCTAACGACAAATGCTGGGTGAATTTCCGTGAGATGAGGTAGGTGAGTGCTGCGGAGTGTATGTCGGTGTTCTTGTATGAGTGTATAGAAGCATGCTTGGTAGGTAGGCCTGCTCTGCTTTTAAAAGTCCAAGTCATCAAGCTCTTCCAGAGCACTGGCGACAGTTTGGGAGATGGTATGCAGGGTGGCCCTTCGTTGTTCGGCGGTGGAACCCATGGAATCCCGTCCCGTGGACAGCAAACTGACACGTCGAGTGGACGCTCTCTTGGCGGCCTTGCGGTTCAGAATACTGGGCAGAATCTTGGCACATTGAACATCTTCCCGCCACACTTCCACGGCATCCGTAAAGTCCTTTTGCGCTTGATCCAGCGCGCGGTCATGGGCCCATTGTGTGGCGGCAATGCTGCATTGCTTGAGGCCCTTGGGATCGTTAATGCCCATTTCTCGTTGTTCCTCTTGTTGTGCCAAGATGGTGCTGACAATGTTCTTGCGGCGTTCACTGCGGTCAACCTGGGTTTCGCCATTCCAGTGGGCATCTTCCGAGTCGAAGGAAGAAAGACCATGCTCCAAACCACGAATCGATTCGCCAATGGATTCGTTCAGAGCAGTCAAGTCACCTCCAGCTTCCTTGACCTTTTTGAGTGTTTGGCGTCCTTCTGCGCGGAGTGCTTGGATCTCTGGTTTCTGAAGAAGATGAAAGAAGAGGTAATGTTAGTCGTTGAATTGATACCGCACGAGAGACGGAGAATGGAATCGCAGAAATCAAGACTTACCGAAAACCAGAGCACTGCGGGATCCTCGTTGTCTGACTCTAGTTGATGAACCACACAACCTTCTGGCTCGTCGTTAAACTTGACTGATCTCATGTTGGCCCTCTTCTTGGACTTCATAGATGCTCGGGTGGTGGAGAGCGGGGAGGCATCTACCATTTTGACTAGAGAGCGACGGGTAGACACTGAAGAGCGCTGTGAATCGTCCATAGACTTTTCCTTGTTCAGAGGGTAGTACAAACTGCTGCTAGTGCTAGTGACGGCGGCGGTGAACCATTGAGGACTGCTATTGATGGTGGACATGGTAAAAGAAAATAATGGAGATTGACTTGGTTTGTTGCTGCTTGTTTGTTTGCTTGCTTGACGCGAAACAGAAATTATGACCAACTGTTGAGGCAAAGAACTCCAATGATGTTTGTAATACACGATGTTCCAAGTTCCAAGAGCTATGCATACGGGCACCCAACCAGTAAAACCTGATTGAGGCTTGAGCTCGTGGAATGCGCAATGCGTGGTGGAAAAAGTCACTGAGCGGGCATAACAATTCAAAGAAAACCGGCACCACCACTTTCCATCGTGTTCTGGTCACTGGGATGCGGGGAAGAACTTATCAATAAGCATCATGTCATGGGGCTGTTATCCTATTGACTTAGTGCTCCGCAGTTACTGGAAATAGAGCTCAGCGATTGGTTAGGCCCTTTGGAAAGGAGGGTGGAAAGAGGGGTAGCGTTCCTCGGTGGTCATTAATGGAAGCAGCGTTAGTTAAAGTCAAACCCAGTTTGATCAACTTCAATTCGAGGGGGCAGTATTGGAATTTACGATACAATACCCCTGCAGTCAATAAAGCTTAGTGTGTCTTTTCTTGGTTTTTAAAGTTTATGACACATCAACAAAGCATAGAAAAGGGGTGGATGAATCAATTGCAGGGATCCTTTCAAAGGACTTTTTCGCCACTGTCTCATTTCTGATTTTGCCAACTTCTCCTTTCCTTCCGGAATCCCACCACTATGCTGGCTACTGACTCGATGGCAGGCTTACGTAACACTGTCGTACAGCCCAGAAGATATCTTTAGAAATAGTAGTTGAGGTAATATTAGGGTTAAGTGTAACATTTTACTCCGAAGCTTTTTATTCTAAAAATCTGTTTTCCGCACCTACCAGCCTTTGCAATGTTGCCAGTAGTGAGTGCTGGTAGGGAGCAGCAATTAGTGTTGCAACGCCAAAATGAGAACAGGGAATGTCCAAGATCGAAAGTTTCAGGCACAGAATAGAAAGATCAGATGGAGGCCGGTTCCTCGGCAAGCTGCTGCAAGCTGTTCCGCATTTGCTGATACCGGTAAAGACCAGCCATTGGTATTGCCCCTCTGGTTCAATCCTTCATGCTTCATGGTCGTTGATTTATGCTTTGAAGAAGTTGTTGAAGAAGCAGAATCCTTCCTTTCCCCATTGAGCGTCCCATTGTAGAACCAGAAGAATTAATGAAATCCCAAGATGTTTGAGAGGGGGGTTTGGTAAGATCGAAAAGTATCGCGTTTCAGTACAATACCGTAGATGACAAGGGCTGTTTATGTCACTGAACGGACTCATGAATTCGAAAGCGGCACTACCAGACTGCGCTCAGCCACGTGCGAAGACTCTCCAAGCAGTCGCCAGTTTCTGATTTTTTAAGCTCTCGGTGGCAGCAGTTTCCAAGGGGATTCGCATTAAAATATCTTGATGCACAGTTTACTACTTAGTAGCTGTTTACTGTAGATTGATGGTGAAGCTTGCGGTGCAGCTTGTACCGGTACAAAACAGCTTACAAAACCATTGCGGCATTGTTGCTAGTCTAGGTACTGTGCCGGTACAACCTGGATTTATGGGCTTTGTTGCTTGTTGTACGTATACTTGTATCGGTACCGGGGGGAGGCTGCATGCTCGAAGTCTTCCTTCGAAGGTCTTGTTTTGCGCTCTTGTACTGTACGTACCGGTACGGTAGGGTTGCGGAGATGGCCAGAATTCTATTAGGATCCTTCCAACTTTCAATTCTTGTATGAAGCAAGGAGCAACGAATCTCCTCTCGGATTGGTAAACTAGATCTAACCAGCACTAACGGTGCGAGGAAGGTGGGCCACTTCTGCATTCTGAGTAGAACAGTGCTGAAATTGAAGACATGGAAGGAGGGCTGAAGAAGAAGGCAAAAACGAGGAAATTGATGCCAAGCTTTGTTGGCGCAGCCAACGAGACCGTTGGCCTCAAAGCACAGCCACATCGCACGCAAAGAGCTGCTCAATGAGATGTCGGTTGCGTTGTGTTGCATAAACACAAGGCAACAATGATTCCACTCTGATTAGCCATGTAACATAGTGGTTGTTACCAAAAATGTAGCAAGAAGAGCTGCAGCCTCAAGACCTTTCCACAAGATCAGTCACATCCAGAGTTAGCTTAAAGGCGCAACTGGCCAGTGTCCCTCATCCAGAAGAAGGTCGCAATGAGCACGAAGAGGTACCAAACTAGAAGAGTTACTCCAGGAGGGGCGAATACATTGTATCTTTGAGTGAAGATAGAAAGATTCGAGGCTCGTATTTTGTCCACAAGGAACCAAAGCTAAGACACTTCCTGCAATGCTCTGCTTATGCTGGTGGGACTTCCACAGCAGGCTTTTCCCTTCTACAAGGACGCCATGACCCGTCGTGCCATAGTCATTGTGGCGCCTGATTGCCGCCCCGAACCCCATCCAGCCGATTTCAACGATTGCTAGGACACCTTCGTGTGGATGAAGCAAAATGCCAAGATTTACAGCGACAAGTTTATTGTGGCGGGACACAGCTCAGGTGGTGGATTTGCTGCCGCCGCCATCACACATTGCATGCGAGATGCCAGTCTATGCCATGCTAGACCATAGAATGGAAACCCGATCATCCTAGATTGTGGTGGGAGCTGCCGTGTTTGATCTCGAGGTGAGAAAGTACCGTATTGCTGGGACCAATACCTCAAGGAGCTAAACAAGGAACAACCAGTTCACATGCATGCCTCGCCAGCTCTCAATCAAGACTCCAAGAGCTTGCCGCCAGCTATTTCCTTTTCCGGTGACTTGGAACCTTGTTTGGATGAAGACCCAAGCAAAGAGTCTTTTCCGTGAAATGCAGATGGAGGCTAGAAGTCTTCTTTAGGAAGAGACCTCCCAACTCGTACTCAATCATGAGCAGTTTTCCATACCGATCAATGTCCCCTAGCAAAGATGGCGCTGCAATGATGTCTTCGGGTAGCGGCAATGGCGGGTGAGTCCATGCGACTATTGAACCTTCACTGCCAGTCCGAGAGCAACAACTCCAAGGCTAATAATAATCCCATTGATAACCAACATGTAGTAGACTAGATTTTATCTTCGTTCTTTGTTTTCGGTGATCAACCGGTATACTGGTACCGGTACGCTCACCTTTTCACATCCAATGAATGCATGAAGCTGTCGCATGATGTCTATTTGAAGTTTGGTCCTTCGCCAACAGCTTGTCGCAAAGCAGAGTATCGGACGAAGGCATCTCTAAACTCTTCCTTTGAAATGTTTTCGTCGCCATTCACATCGAGCAACTGGAACATATTTTCGATGGCCTTCTCAGAATACTTTCCAAACATTCTGCCCAGATGGCTCTTCAACTCGAACTCATCAATAGATCCGTTGCCATCAGCATCTGCTGCTTGAAAAGCCTGATCAGCGTCTTGATGGAGTTCCTTCACAAACTGAGCATTGAAGTTACCGAGTCCTGGTGCACTCTGTAGACCAGGAAGGATTGCAAAGCCTGTACGAAATTCCTCCTGAGAAATAGACTCGTCCTTGTTTTTGTCGAGCTTGGCGAATATCTTATCAATGACTTGTTCGCTGAAACCTGAGGCGGACAAGTGGCTGGTCAACTCGTCCCGAGAGATGGTCCCGCTGCCATCAGCGTCAATGACAGAGAAAATGACATCGGCATCTCGGTGAAGGCCGTCCAAACGATTTTTTTGTTCAAGATTCAGGTCGCTATCGGTTGCTGGAGTGGAAAATAAAGGTGAAAGCCCAGGAACATTGGATACCCCTGTGTTCGGCAAATGGGGAGAAAGCCTGGTTCCTCCGTTGGAGACAACAAAGCTCGACGACACCTCGAAAGTGCATAGAATGGCAAGGACAATGAGTTTCGAAGGCATTTTGTTACTGTTGACAGGTAGAAATGATTGATTCTTTTTCGTTTTTAGGTAGAAATGATTGATTCTTTTTCGTTTTTATGAGGAGCACTTCGGGAAGTGTCGAAATGGGTGACCAATGACTCATTCAAATATGTGAGTGGTGCGTGCCAACGTGGCAACGAAACGTGGAAGATTCGATTGATCATTCATCATTCGATTGAATGAATCACTCGACACTAACTGTTACCAGAGATTAACCTCATTGGGTAACTATATCGGCCACCTAATGTAAACAGCTCTATCGGCTTATCGAGGTACTCTGTCGGCTCAACCATCATGGTCACATCGTCACCAACACCAAGGAAGTGTTTGGCAATGGGCAACAGTTGGCTGGACAGGGTTGGTTGCCTTGTTGTAGCTGTAGGAAGATGGTCTATTTTTGGCTTAGTTACTCAATGTGATTTGCCGTGTTATTAAGCATGATAAATTATTACATTTCCATTATCTTTTCTACCCTCCACCAAAAGGAGCGACAATGGGCATCCTGCCTCTGTTTTGACCGTCCTATTGCCATGATTGCTTCGCCGACAACACCAGAAGACTAGTCGGTAAACGACAGTGGTGGTAGCGCCGGGATAGACAGCCTGCGGAGCGTCCAATCGTCTCGAATCGGCGGCGACGGGGTAGAATCCCATTATCTCCCATTATCTCCTTCTATTATCTCCTTCTATTGTCGCCTTCTATTATCTCACTCCTCTCTAGCGGTAGCGCCTCCAGTGTAGTCTCAAAACCGTTGAACGCCGATTTGGAAGCCGTCGAACGACGCTCCGTTTTCGCCAACGACCGACGCCCATTGTGTCATGGTGCGATGTGAAATGGCGAAAACCACGAAAAATGGCTTTTGCCGGCTCTTTCAAGCCATTACTCCATAACTCTTCCTTCTAGACCCCATATGTAGTGTTACCAGATGATGTTGCAACAGGTATAGAAAGAGTATTGATCTTGATATCAAGCATTAAAGGCTGCTGCTCAGGTGTACAAAGCGTTTACATTTCTAATTACCCAATGTAATCATAATTACCCAATGAGGTTAATCTCTGGTACCAGGTACCGTATAGATCTTGGACCCCGGGCCCGGAAGCACTGAGAGTGCCTCGAATCTGCGCTGGAGGGCCTGCGATAGCAACAACAACCACGCCATCTCCACCAAGTAAGGGTACCTTTACGGTACCGGTATCGTATCGTAGCAGCTGGGTGGCGATGACGACGGCATCGACGTTGTCAACAGAAGATCAGGATACTCCGAGCGACAATCTCTGGTCTCGGCTAGCTAGCTTGTGGGACTGTCACTCCCGTGCACTGTTTCTTTCAGGATTTGGGAAGACGCTTGCAGCCTTGTTGTACCTGGTACCGGTATCCAATCACATGTTACCGGGGTGGGTCTGTCTCGCTGTCATGTCCATCCTTAAAGTTTCCTCTGGTTGGTTGATTGGTTGGCTGGTTGATTGACGGAACGAGGCAACAGAGACAGCACCCTTACTAGTTGACGGTAGTAGCTAGCCGGTAGCTTTATCTGCAGTTTCAAAACAAGTCTATCATGCAATGAGAGAGTCTGAAATGGAGGTCAAAACATTCTTTTTATTTAGCAGAGGCTGTACTGCGGATCGAATGCTTGCTTCAAGCAAACACGCGGCACACAGGTTGTCATAGTTTGACCAGTTAAGCAGATTTCGCCGTCATGGTGACCGGCTGTCTGCGCAACGAACCGCTAGTTTGCCGCTCGTTGCCAGTAGGACAGGCTTTGGCACAATTAGAACCAGCGTCAATAACAGAAACAGAATCTTCCCTGTCCTCGTTTTCTTCATATATTGATCTTGCCTCTGCTTCATCCATTGATGCTACTCCCAGGGCAAGATCTCTTGTCATCCAGGTGAGTTGTGAGGCATAGTCATGAATAGTTTCTGCCAAAGAGTGGGCTACTGTTGGACGAATCTTCGTCTTCTTAGACAAGACAGATTTCCGCAAATGCCCTCCACTCTTGCGCAGCTCATCTGACTTTTCGACGACAGCACGCACGTAAGCTTCTGCTTGGAGTTTTCGGCGTTGGTTGCATTCATACTCTAGCCCTCGGCTGTTGGCGCCGTCGTGCTGTTCTAGGTCCCTAAAGAACTGGGAATGGAGCTCATCCTTGTTGTACCACAGTTCTTGCTTTGAGATACTTTCCTGGGCTTCCAGCTGGTCCAACTGACGCGAATAAGCCACAGACCGCCCGAATCGGACTCGTTTCTCGCTGCGGGTAGAGCAGTGGCAGCCACTGCTATCTTCTGTCATGGTGTCTTGGTTGTTTTTCCGTAGCCACCTTTGGTGCTTCATCTTTGAAATAAGGCTTTGTCGGGGCATGATGTTACTTTTGGTTGTCGTACTGTTGTTTCTCGTTTTGTGTGAAGATTTTGTTGGACGTAACATTCTTCCGCAACTTGATGGGTCCTGAATCCTTCTTGCTTGAATACTGTTGAATTTGCAGTTTGCTGGTTTTGATCCCAGCGATTGATGAACGACCCACACTTGCGCTCGTGCTGGTGCGTTGACGGAAAGATCCAAGCAGATCTAAAGCACGAATCATTGTCAAGGGTCATTATTCACTTGTTAGAATACAAGAAGCGGAGCACTTGAAGAACACCCATGGCTTCTTGCATGCTTAAAAGGAGTGCTAGCCAGAGTTGAAGACATTAAGGCTTAAAAGGCTGCATAGGAGTGGGGCAACTAAATAAAAGATTTCAACAGGGCAAGCAACTGCAAGTAGTTAATTAACAAGAGCTCTTTGCATTCTGCAGCGAGGCCCTTAGGACTTTGGAAGCTACAATGTCATGTATGTTGTACTTCGTACCGATACTACGGTAGCTAGTACGGCTTACCAGTACCGTACGGGGTACCGAGTTCCGCGCTATCAACCCATCGCCCAGCAAGCTCAAGCTAAGCAATTACAGTACGGTAGGGTAGCCATGACATTGTAGCCACAATTGCAATGCGGTATACATGATACCGGACTGAGGTGAGGTAGTCCTCTAGGCAGAGGATGTATCATGGTACCGTAATGAGGGAAGCCAACCATTATCTTTACAGTTCACTTCCAGCCCCTATTCCTGGAATCGATTGTGTTTCTGGACTAGTATATCCCTGTAGATCGGCATCTTTAATGGCTTGCCCATCACTTCGATCTGTTTGCACCACCAGCTCTCCTATTATAGTCAGTTGTCGTGGACATCATTCCTTTGGGATCAAACAAAGCAACCGACAAAATAGTTTCGCCGAAGGACTGCCCTCTTGTACATGGGATCAAGGCCTTGCCAAGACTGTAACCATTCGATTCTAGATCTCGCAAGCAAGCAGAAATCGGTCCAGCACGCGACAAAGCTGTCGTATCGAGGTCAAGGGCTGCAGCTAGTAACTTGAAACTGTCTTTTGACTTCTCTTCCTTTCACAAAGACATGACTAATGTTTCGGTCGTCTCCCAACACCAAGAGCTTTTGAAAAACATCTGCCAAACTGTCGAAATCTGGAAATACTGTAATATTGCTTTTGCCCTTTGCTGAGAGAATGAAGGCGTCGAAGGACATTCCGACTTGGAGGTTTCCAATCTGGTGTTGCAAACCCAAAGCTTCTGCTCCACCCAATGTTGCCAGGTAGAAGGCATGTCGATAATCCAAAATGGATTCAGTCGTATCGTTTGTAGTTGGTTGTTGTTCCATTTGAGTGTGCATTGCTTGCAGTGACTGCGATGCCACAACGGTCGTTCGGGCAGCCTGCAACATGGACGGAGAATAGCCCCCAGCGACATCTGTGCCCAGTCCCACCTTGTTTCCGCGTTGCATCATTCGTCGGCAAGGGAATACACCACCGGCAAAGAAAAAATTGGACAATGGACAGTGCGCCACGGCCGTTCCTTGCTCCATCAGTATATCCGCATCGGCGTCTGACAAATGTACTCCATGAGCCATAATGCATCGATCCGTCAAGAGCTTGTGACTGTGAAACATGGCGGCATCGGTCCGATCCATTATTCCATGATCCTGTTCATCCAAGTGTTTACTCCATGCCACTTCGTCGATGGATTCGGAAATGTGGCTGGTAATGTGACAGTTTGGATGTTCGGCGGCGATGTCTCCCAATGCCGTCAAGAGTTCAGGAGAACAGGTGGGAATGAAGCGGGGCGTAATCAATGGCAAAACCAGCGGATTGCTGTTTTGTGGGTGATGCTCGATGTAATGAATCAGTTCTCTGGTTTCTTCAATGTTCTCTTCCAAAGTCTGCACATAATCATGAGGCGCATTGCGATCCATACACACCTTTCCGACTAAAGCCCGTTGTCCGTATTCCAGGCACACATCGACTAAAATTTGGTTGGGTTTCAGATGCAGTGTTCCAAAATAGACCGCGGTAGTGGTACCATTCTCCAAGGTTGTTTGGACCACACATTGATAGACTCTTCGAGCCAGCGGGAGATTGTTCTTTAGTCGCCGCTCGGCCGGAAACGTGTAGGTCTCTAACCAGCCATCAGGTCCCGTCAAAGGTAGATCCGTGGCTGTTCCAGTGTAGGAGAATTGAGGAGCATGAATGTGCAGATCTATCATTCCAGGACACAGAAACTCCAGGGTCGACTCGAGTCGAATAAAATGACAATTCTGTAGTTGCTGTGCTGATTGGAGGACTGATTGAGAGTCTCGTGCAGGAGCTAACCACACAATTTTCCCCTCTTGACTGACAGCCAGTACGTGGTCCAGAAGAAGTTGGAGTCCAGGACCCAGCCAAATGCAGTCCTCATCAACAACACTCGCAACTTTGTCGTACTGATCTTGGACGACTGGATCAAATGGATTTCCAGTTAGCACAGCAACGTTTCCCTGCAGAACCCATCGAAGATTTTGGAGGTCGACATTCTCGATATTGGAAGGATGATGGCAGGGAGATTTGGATTCCGCCGCCATGCTTCGTTCGTTTTGGCTCGAGTTTTACAATTGTGTGGAGGTCCTGTCTGAGCTTCAACTGACAAGTCAAGTATGTGTGGCCGGCCAGCTATTAATAGCTAGCTACATGCACCTTTGAGGGGCGCTGCCTAGCTACCGTTCTATGCACACGTAGAGAAGTCGAGTTGCGTACCATCTCTCCCCTCCGGTCTCCCTTGTCGTCGTGTGACTGCTACTAGACTACTGTACTGAGTACTGTAGTAGACTGCACCTAGTCGCTTGGGGGCTGTTAGACCAAGAGGCAGACTGGCTTTTTGAGGTTAACCCTTTTCATGCCAGTTGGGAAAGTGAATAACCCTTTGAATGCCAAGACATCGAGGTGCGAATCGAGAAAGGCGCCACGATATCAGCTGATGGAACAATTTCCCTTTTAAAATTTGTGCAAACGGAGGCCGACGTGCAGTACCGGTACCATGTAGACATGGGATGACACAAAAGAATAAGCTAAAAATTAAAAGGGGATTCTACGTCTACCTCGTTCTAGCGAGTCCCGGGAGGTTCACCTCGTGATTGCCAACCACCAGCTGGTTTTGGCTCCTCTCGCACTCCCTCTTGAACCGAACGGGGTAGCAAATTTTGTACCGTAGTCCTCTTTGCTGCACAACGATGTCAAACTCTAAACAAACACAAACATGCAATGTAGTGCACTACGCTAAAAGCTAGTGTAAAGATCTTTCGAGTGTTTTGAGTTTGAGAGAATGAAAGTTATGAGA